ACTCGCTCTTCCGCCCCTTCTCCCTTTGTCTTTCCTCTTTCTCCTTCTCTCTCCTCTTTCCTCTCCTTCTCTATTCGTTCTCTGCTCTCTCCTCTTTCCTCTTTCAACTTCTGCTATCTCCTCTTCTTTCTTCTTCTCTTTCCTCTTCGTTCTCCATCCCCATTCTCCTTTTCCTCTTCGTTCTCCTTCCCCCTTCTTTATCCTCTTCTTTCCCCTTTTTATCTCCCACCACCACTGCTAACTCTAACCAACGTCGCACCACCAGCACCAACATCAACAACAACACCAACATCGACTACGAATCAACAACAATTTCCTCCAATTTCGCCCCTTTCTCTCCCCTCATGAAGAAAACAAAGGTTTTCAGGGCAAATTCGACCATGAAAACTCTAGATCTAGAGTTTTTGTGGTCGAATTTGGCCTTCTAAACCTAATTTCAAGGTTTTATTACGTCGAATTATGGTATGTGTAATTTTTGTTTGATTTTTTTGTTGTTTTATCAGTTTTTTTTTTTTAATTTTGGTGTTCGAATTTTGGGGGTTGGGTCAGGATTCTATTTTTTTTTTTAATTTTTGGGTTGTGGTTGGCTTGTTTTGGTGGCGGTAGTGGTGGTTTTAGGTGGGTGGTTGATTGTAGTTCGCCGGAAGTGGTGGTTTTAGGTGGGTTTCGGCGGCAGTGGTGGTTTAAGGTGGACGGTGGTTAGGGTTGTAGATCCGGGTTTATTTTGGTGGTAAATTTGTATTTGGGTGGGTTAGGGTTAGGTGGGTAGGGGTTTTGGTGGTTGGGTAGTGGGTGGTGGTGCAGGCTGGTGGTGCGATTTAGGTGGGTGGTGGTGGAGGGTGGGAGGCGTTTTTTTTTTTTGTTTTTTTAAAAGCATTTTCCGACGGAATTTCCGTCGAAGATTTCTGGCGGAATACAGTCCGTCGGAAATTTCTAACGGATTTCCCAAACCTGGAATTCACTTCCGGTGGACAGAATTCCGTCGGAAAAGGCCCTTTTTTCGACAACATGTATTGCGACAACCAGTTCCGACGGAATTCCGTTGGAAACCAATTTTCCGACGGAAAACAAGGTGTTTCCGACGGAAATTTTCCGTCGTAATTTGCCTGTTTTCTAGTAGTGTAAATTCTATCTTTATGAAAAAGATTTTATTTTATTTATTTTCGAAAATTAGTTAAACAAATAAATTCTGTTTTGTTTTCCAAAACTTGCGGCATACTCTCCATGATCTTTCTAAAGTCATGGTCTTGCATATTGAGGAGTTCGTGTTCCTTGAATTTAGGACATGATCTTCTTAGTGGGTTGACTGTTGGAGTAGTGGTGTTATGGATTTGCCGCACAAAGAAGTTTTCCCTAAACGATTTTTGGTCTATAAATAGTTATTGATTTCGGTTGGAAAAACTTACCCTTGCTCAAATAGATTTCAATAATCTTTGTTTTCTTTAATCGAGTCAAGAGTCAATTCCACACTAGAAAATTAAAGTGTTCTAATGTTCTTATACTAGAGTTATTCTTTCGAGTTGTATTTTAGGGAATTGGGAAGTTTGAGTAAACTTTTGTTTGTGAGAAAGAGAAGTAAGAAAGAGAAAAGAAAGAAAAGAGAGTTAGAGAAAAAGAAGAGAAGAGTAACAAGTTGGGTGACTTGTTCCTCGGGGCTTTGAGTTCGTTAAGGAACTTGAAGTTAGAATTTTTAGTTTGAATAGGTCCATTTGTCCTATTTTAGTGAAAATTCTTTTCCCAAAATCCCAAATGATTGTGGTTTTGCTCCTTGTTTAGGGCCAAGGAGTTTTCCACGTAAAATCTCTCTTGCACTTTCAGACCCTTTAGCTTACTTAGTTTTATTTCCGTAAAAAGATTGACTAAACTGTTATACTACAATTCAAACCCCCCTTCTTGTAGTATTCATCGAAACAACGAAAACATGAGAATAGCTAGACCTAGGGCCCTGTTCTTTTGAGCTTCTAGGCAGAGCAGAGCAGGGGTCAGCAGAGCAGGCAGATTAAATTTCAGCAGAGTAGAGCAGATTTCAGAATAGCAGAGCAGAGAAGATTTCAACATTATTATTATTATTATTATTATTATTATTATTATTATTATTATCACCCAAAACCCCCTTTCACTTTATATATTACTATAGATTATTATTGATAATTATTATTATTAATTATTATTATGATTTATAAATATTAATTATTATTATGATTAATAAATATTAATTGTTATTATGATTAATAAATATTAATTATTATTAATATTAATAATTATTATAATTATTCAAAATAATAAATTATTATCATCAATACAATATTAATTATTATTGTTGTTATTATTAATTATTATTTGAAAATAGAGCAGAGCTAAGCCGAGCAGAGCAGAGCGTATTTCTTTTGAGCAGAGCAGAGCGTATTTCTTTTGAGCAGAGCAGAACAAATTTGATTTGAGCAGAGCAGCTCTAATGAACGGGGCCCCCGCCAACTAATCCCTCCGTCTCTAAATTACATTCCTGGATCCTATTATGGGTATTCCAAAATTACATTCTTCCTTTCCATTTTTAGTAATTTGTTTTCCCAAATATCCCAAATCAACTCTCTTTTTCAGTTGTATATTTACTGTTTCCCCACTTTTTACTATCCTAATCTCATTCTTATTTTCTCTCCCCATCGTTTTTCTCAAATTTGTACTTTCCATGACTAACCTAATGAATATGATTGGTTCTTAATTTTCAATTAGAAGCATGTTGTCCTTTTTTTTTTTTTTTTTTGCAAAGGATTGATGACATGACATCATTAGTTAATCAATCTTTGTTTTACTCAAAGACATCATTTAATATAATGTTTTGTATTTTCCATTGAAATATTTCGTTATTGTTATTTGTCTTATTCTTTATTTCCTCCTTAATTCCCGTGTAATTTTACAAACACGAATGTAATTTAGGGACGGAGGGAGTACGGAGTATGTTCATTTTGTGACATTATGGGCATGATCTCATTGACTGAAATGAGTTGAACTGAACTGAACTTTTTAGAACTGAACTGAACTGGTTAATTAGTGATTTTTAACTATGGATTAACGATCTTTAATTATTTATTATTATAGATATGTGTATATACAAATATACATATTAAAATATTTAAGATAAATATACTATGTGATTAAAATATTTATGAAAAATATATTAAAAACATGGAACCCCAAAACATTTTAAAAACATATACGAAGTATTATATAATTTGAAAAAAAAAAATATTAAAATGACAAAAAAAAACACAAAGCACTTTTTAAAAAATTCTCAAAATGGAAAAAAAAAAAGAGTTGGGCCGGTCTTATTTAAAAACTAACTTGATCCTATTTTTACTCCTAGCTTGTCAATAATGAAATATGGTATTATAGTCATTAAGTGAAATATGGTATAACTATATAATAGTTATTATTATTATTATTATTATTATTATTATTATTAATAGTTATTATTATTATTATTATTATTATTATTATTATTATTATTATTATTATTATTATTATTATTATTATTATTATTATTATTATTATTATATCTCAAAAACAAAAGTCATACAACCTACAATAAATTAGTGGGAAGCCGAGATACAATCTGGGCCCCCACTCCTCTAGCTATAGCAAATCCTACCCTAGTGAAGATATGAGCTGCAGCACGAGCCCCAATGTCTTGCGTCGTCGAGAACCTCTGAATCCGCTTCAATAACGCAACAGCCTCCTTCTCTAATTCCCCAAGCGAAGAAAAGGAGAAGGGAATAAAACCATATCCAATCGCCTGACATCGAGCTTCATACTTATCCCGCTTCCGATGAGCAGCATCAGCCACAACCCGCCCAGGAATAAAGTCAGATAGCCCTGACTGTGTCAAAGGAGAAGACCCTGTCAAATCAACACAGACATCGCGACCACGATCTCATGAATAAAGTAACACATCTGAGGTCTGAGGGCCTCGTCGTTCCCTCCAGCCAACCCAATGTCAACCTCCTTTCTCGCTGAAATCCCAAAACGATAGCAAACATCAACAAGGATCGAATCCAATCAATTTACAAAAAATTGGTAGGGAGTCGAGATACAATCTGGGCCCCCACCCCTCTAGCTATAGCGAACCCGATCCTATTGAAGATGTGAGCAGCTAAACGAGCACCAATATCCTGTGTCTTAGCGAACGCTTGTACCCGCTTCAGCAACGCAATAGCATCCTTATCTAATTCCCCTAACGAAGAAAAGGAGAAAGGAAGAAAACCATAGCCAATAGCCCTGCAATGTGCCCCATATTTGTCCCGCTTTCGCTGAGCCACTGACGACACAACACGACGAGGAACGAAATCAGAAAACCCCGATTTCGTCAAAGGTGAAGACCCCGTCAAATCAACACATACATCAAGGCCTCTATCCCAGGAATAAAGCAGCACATCTGCTGGTCGTAGAGCTCCGTCGTCCCCTCCAGACAATCCCATACCGAAAACAAATATCAACAGGGTGTCACGAACAACGTTGTTGTGCTGATGTTTAATACCCACCATCCCAGCACAAGACACTGCATGATCCCCATAAATATCCCCATCAAAAACCCTTGAGCAAGCAGAACACGATGTTGAAACGGAGAACAAAGGAACACCCAGTCGGTAACAAAGAACACTACGGTAAGTCTTACCATTCATAGTCTGACCCAAACCCGATATCGGGACCGTTAGCAACCAGGCCGAACAGTGATCCCCCTGATTGTTATTATTGTCATTGTTGTAATATGCTTAAAAATATGAATTTTGGCTTTATATTATTAGCAGTATTATTAGACATAAACTGAACGGAACTTATTAGAGCTAAGTTGAACTAAACTGAAAATAATTTGATGAGAACATACCCTATATTTAGTAAATTAACCTAGACAAGGTCCAAGTCCATATTTATTATGCCGTGCTTAAATATAACCCATCATTTAAAATTGACCACTACAAATCTACAATATCATAATTTTTGCAATAGTTATGCCCACTCCCTACCGTAGTATCGTTGCGGAGTTATCATGTCATATCGTGTCATGCTTCGAACAGGCTAGCCGAATTTGCAATCGCAAGGACTTTCTCATTTCTCAAGTGACTCTATCCATCGAACTCCCTAAAATTTTCAAAACATAAAAATCCAATGGCAATACAGTCAGTTACAGGACCCACCTTCCCCTTCCCGCCGGCATCCAACCACCACCGTCCAACACCTTCAACAACAGCAACACCCCTTCGCTCCAAACCCACCACTTCAACAGACCCAGATTTCTCTGACCACCTTCCTTCTTCTTCAACCTCCATTAAAACTCACAAAACCCAGAAAAAATGGTGGTTTCCTGATACCAAAGAGAAGGAGAGAGAAGCAAAAGAGAGAAAAGAAGAAATCAACAGAAAAATTGCATCCCAAAAAGCCATTTCTGTGATTCTTAGAAGGGAAGCTACTAAAGCTGTTATTGAGAAGAAGAAAGGGATTAGTTCTAAAAGGCTGTTACCTAGGACTGTTCTTGAAGCTCTTCATGAACGTATTAAAGCTCTTCGTTGGGAGTCTGCCCTCAAGGTTTAATTTTCAGTTTTGATGATTTTTTGAATTATATGGTTTGCTTTAATTGTTGTATTTGTTGATAAATTTTGATTTTTGGGTGTTATTGTGAATTGATTTTTGGGGTTTATTTGTTTCTTTAATTGAATTTTGGAGTTGGGTTTTTTGTTATAATTTTTGTGATTGAAGGTTTGAATTAGCAGGTTTACTGTTTGTGAAGGAATGTGGGGTTTGTTCAAGTGCTTTTTTTTTTTTGAGACAAAGTGCTTGTTTTGTATTGTGTATTAATGTGATATATAAGCTAGATGAGTGTGTGTTTGAACAGCATTGATCCGTCCCGAAATTGGAGCAATTAAGAGCAGGAGCTAAATGGAAATGTTGTCTGATTCTTAGTCCATCAGAGTGAAATCGAATGGAATGGACTGATTTCAATCCTTTAGTTTCATTAGATGTTGGTTCCTTGTAAGGTAGAAGTCGATCAGTTGTTATCGAAAATTATGTAGGAAAAGGTTTTGTTGGGAGAGATTTTATAAGTGGTGATTTGGGAATGTTCAGAATAAGAATATGTTTCAGGCCAACTAGCATTTTGAGCAAGTTAGTATGCTAATTTAGGCGTAGATTGAGAGACATAATCAATTAGAACATTTGTTTGGCATCGTTTTTTGTTTTCAATTTTTTGCAAACAAAAAACCAAAATCATGAAACAGGTAACAAGAAAAAGATGTTTCCAGTTTTCAGTTGTTTTTTAATTATCGTAATTTTAATATTTGTGGAATGGGGGAAGTATTTATTATCAAGACTGATACTAAAGTTTTGTGAGTCTATTTTGACCGAAGCCCCAAACTCATAGTTATTCCTTTTATGGTGCACTCTTTAGATGGATTGCGTTAGAGTTTTCATATATTAATAGCTTTATGGATACCCATTTGTGGTTTGAGAGACATATGCAGTAGCATATGATATGAGGGAAGGTGGAGAGATTCCAGTTGGTAACTATATTGAGGCTGTAGCTCATAAACTCTTGCTTAGACCTTTTGAACTGCAAATCTGCTACAGGGCTACTTGTTAATCACTGTAGTTTGTGCTGGTCATGTGTGCTATATATTGGACTTTATTGTGCATGTTATTCAAGGATGAACTGAGGCTAACCTCCGTCATAATGAGGCAACGGTCTTTAATTCTAGAAGCTGCTGTGATATATTCTCATCATCAAACGGCTAGTTTATTATAGCATGTCCTTTATACTTGGAACATGAAGCAATTCTTACTATGAGCATAAGATATTTTAAGTGCACAGATTTCATTGACCCAGATTTTTTTTCATTCAAATCTGCTTAATCATGAGGCTGCAGTACATTTTTTAAATCGTGGGTGCACACAATATTTTTTGTCCTCATCAGTACAACTTGATAATCATTTTCTGCTATTCTACTGGTCTGTGCCTTGGAGTCAGATTTAATTCAGGGGTCTTTTAACAGACTAGATTTGTAAGCCCTGTAATGTAAATACTGTAATTACCAAACATAAAGATGCTGAAAAAAAAAACCTTGAAATTTTATTTCTTGTTTTATAGAAATTGATATTTCTACGAAAGGATAGGCTTTCTCTAAAATATCTCCAGGTGATATAATGCAGGTGTTTGAACTAATGCGAGAGCAGTTGTGGTATAGACCCAACTCTGGTATATACATCAAGCTTATTGTCATGCTTGGAAAATGTAAGCAGCCTCAAAAAGCTTATGAATTGTTTCAAACTATGGTTGATGAAGGCTGCATTATAGATCATGAAGCATGCACTGCTCTCATGTCAGCCTACAGCAGGAGCTGTCAGTTTGATGAAGCCTTCTCGCTGCTTGAGCATATGAAGAACAGTACTAATTGTAGACCTGATGTTTATACGTACTCAATCCTCATAAAGTCGTGCCTCCAAGTCTTTGCCTTTGATAAAGTTCATATGCTGCTTTCTGATATGGTATCGCAGGGAATCCCGCCCAACACAGTCACATATAATACCCTGATTGATGCTTATGGAAAATCAGGAAAGTATGTGGATTCTATCTCTTCTCTTTACTTTCTATTTGAATAAGTCAATAAGTTGAGAGCTTTTTGTGTTTGGGCTATCTATTAATTCATGTATATGATCATTACCTGTTGCAGTAGTTGCATGCTTGTATCTGTTTTCCAGATCAATTTATGTCTGCATAAATGCATCTATGGTGTTTACCCCAACTGATTTTGGTACTAAGGCTTTGTTGTTGTTGTAAATGCATCTATGGTATTTTCCCCTTGTACCAGGTTTTGGCTGTCTTGGTCCTTGCTCCTTGCCTTGTCCTAAATTTGTTGTAATCAATGAAAACATATGATTTTTTTTCCCCGACACACACACACACACAAAATAAAAAAGTAAGCTTTTGTTTGACTGTGTAGAAAATGGGAAACTTTTTTATCCATCCAAAATTAAGTGTTTGCGAACTGAATTCTGAGCTAGTCTTAGAGTACTTCATTTGCTCTGGTCTTGCTATGTGTGATAACTTCTTATGAAAATATGCATGGTTTCCTCTTGATTTAAAATTGGAAATTATACATTGTTTTATTAATGCAATTCTTTGTGAATTTACACAAAATTGACCCCACCTTCAAGCAACCTTTTGTAATTCTTTGTTTTTCTTTTTTTTTTTCCCCTTTTTGGAACCAGATGGGTGTGACATTTGTGATGATGGACAGAGAATTCATTTACTTTCTCCTATTTCATAAAAGGTTTGCAGAAATGGAATCAGTACTAGCAGAAATGCTTACTAATCGGAATTGTGAACCTGATGTATGGACCATGAATTCTACACTCAGAGCTTTTGGCAACAGCGGACAAATTGAGATGATGGAGAAATGTTATGAGAAGTTCCAGGGTGCTGGAATTGAACCCAATATCAGAACTTTCAACATACTCTTAGATTCATATGGCAAAGTTGGACATTATACAAAGATGAGTGCTGTTATGGAATATATGCAGAAATATCACTACTCCTGGACAATTGTGACCTACAATGTAGTAATAGATGCATTTGGAAAGGCTGGGAAATTAAAGCAGATGGAATTTTTGTTTAGGCTGATGCAATCAGAAAGGGTTAAGCCAAATTGTGTCACATTTTGCTCACTTGTGAGGGCTTACGGTGAAGCTGGAAGTGCTGACAAAATTGGTACTGTGTTGCGGATTATTGAGAACACGGATGTAACTTTGGATACCGTGTTCTTTAACTGTCTGGTTGATGCATATGGGAGGATGGAACGATTTGCTGAGATGAAGGAGGTTCTTGAGATGATGAAGAAGAAGGGATGTAAACCTGATAGTGTTACTTATAGAACCATGATTAAAGCTTATAACATTGCTGGCATGACAAGTCAAGCAAAGGAGTTGAGAGATTTTGTTAGATCTTCAGAGAAATCTTTGAGATTGAAGGACCAACATTAATGTACGAATTTTTTTTGTATTTTTTTTGGTTGGAAAAATAAAATTAGGTTGAAAGTTATAGTGTAGAAAACTAGACCTTGTAATTATTTCGGTAATTCGGTATACCCCCTCTATCCCTATTTACATGATGAACTTTGACTTTTAGCACAACTTTGACCTTTTTTTTTCGGTTTTTATATAAAACACATATTGGAATACTGATTTTTTATTTTTAGGATAAAATGTAAAATCATTTTTTGTCCAATTATTTTTTATAATATCCTCACTCGTAATCCATAGAGACTGTCACTATTAAGTTATAAGTAAATGCTTGTACCAAGTTTCCCAAAATATATATATATATATATATATATATATATATATATATATATATATATATATATATATATATTGGTGCATGTACAAACTAGGGGATGGTCTCCCCAAAACTATTGATTTTGGATTAGATACATACACCACGAATTTGGATATAAACTAGTCCATATATATATTGCCAATATGTCTTGTGTATGGCTTGTCACACCATGTAAAACAACAAAGTAACTCCAATAATACTAACGAAGTAACCCCTGCCACAACGTGTGGCCAGTCACATATGAGAATGTGTGATATATTGGTTAACAATTGTTTAAAATACTTATACAATGTAGTTTATTTAAGTTTATGGAGTACATTAGAATGTTGTCATAAATGTTTTTGGGAAAAACAAACTACATTTGTTATTTGCATAATTAAATGACAAAGGAAAAAAAATAAAAGTTTATGAAGGGAAATTCCCCTAAAAAAACTTCATTGTAACATAGTATGAACCACATCCTATTGATCTACTAAAATGATTATCTGGGGATATTTTAGTAGTGTTCTCAAATTGTAAGTCAGGGATATGTATGCGTAATTTGCAATAAACTTCATCCTCACACCCACGTTCATCTTCTTCTTCCTCCCACTTGTCTTCAAGCTACTTCAATTTGGACATCACCAACATCTTCTTCTTCCTCCCACTCATCTCCAAGCTACTTCAATTTCGACATCCCCAACACCAACGGCGGCTACACCGCCAAAATTAAACGAAAACCCTTAAAACAATTGAGAAATAAAGGGTATGGTTAACCCTAAAAGATAGGTGATGAGCTTTCCCTCCCCCGCTCACCATTGAAGTTGAGCCTCTCTTTATTATCCATTGAAGCCGAGATTCATCAATGGCTGCCCATACTTGATTTGTGACAATTACTTTGTGAAATTAAAAAGAAATTACCTCATTCTTTTGTGCAATTGATAAACTAAATTTTACATTGATAATTTTGTTGCTTTGTTGGTTTTATTAATCGATAGAATCATATAAGGTGGGAAAAAATTTATTGAGAAGACAGAGAAAATGAAAATTGAAGCCCACTTTTACCGTTACATGTAGCCAAACGGTAGAAACATGTTGCTTTCGATCAACTTGAAAATAATTAAACAATAGCAAGCAAAAGTAATAATAAAATTATGAACAGCGTCGTTCATATATACCAGTTTTCCACCATATCAACGAAATTCATTAATCTGGTAGATCAACTTAGATTTACCGATATAGTATTATATAGATGAGTAAAATGACTATTTATAAACCACCTTTAGAAGTTTGTTTTAAACAAATCACATAGTTTTATGATAAACATGGATAATATGGAGTAAATGTTTGTTCTAATAGACTGAAATCAGCTGAACTGAACTGAACTAAATTGAATTGAAATTAATATTCTATAAGAGAAGGAAATTAAGAGTTGAACTGAACTGAAAATAAACGTATGAGAACACCCTAATTAGATTTTACATTCTTATATATGAAATTATGATTGAATTCTTTTAACAAATCATGCATTTTTTTGTTATGATAATAATAATTTTGTAAAGAGTACATGTGATAAGTGATAATATAGCTCATTGTATAAATTTTTAGTTATGAACCTTAGGTTGTGGTTTCGAGCGAGGCAATCATCAGTGGATGACATGAAATGACTTAGGGCCTGTTCACATAGACTGAACATAGCTGAACTGAAATGAAATGAATATTTTATAAGAAAAGGAAATTAGGAGCTGAACTGAACTGAACTGAAACTAAACGTATGAGAACAGGCCCTTAGAGCCTCATGTGTCACATAAACATTGATAAGAACATTTCGTATTACTTTAGCTCGCTAATATCTACTACCTCCGTTTCTTTTTAATTGACACGTATTACTTTTAGGAAGTTTTTTAGTTGACACGTTTCCTTTTGGGGTAACTTTTTTACCCTGTATTTACAACCTACCCCACTTGCCTTTTCATTCTCTCTCACTCTCTCTCCTCTCCTTAGTATATGTGCCTAAATCAAACGCGTCAACTAAATAGAAACGGAGGAAGTATTAACTATAACTAAAACAGAAGTTGCTGACATCATCATTGCCCACGTGTCGCTTTCTCAATAAAAAGTTTTCTGCCTAAATGCAATGATGATGTCATCTTTTTTATTTTCCTTTTTTTTGTTTTGAAAAGCAACCATGTTTAACATTTTTGAAATTTAAATATTGGAATCTTCTACATTACAACTAAAATCTATCAATTTATGTAGGAAATTGGAACAATTTTAAATAGCACACTAATAAATGACCTCCTACATTGAAGTATGAATTAGACAACGTTGAACCGATACTATATCATAATTTTGATTAAAATAAAAAAAAATTAAAATTAAAAAATATACTTAATTCTTATTGTATTCATGTATAATAGCGATTTATTTTTAAAATGTACAAATTAAAAATAGGATTTATATAAACCGTGCATCACACGGGTTCTAATAACCTAGTTATAACTAATTCATAACATGTTTATATGTATATATGAATCTACTAAGAGAATGGGAGAGATGTACTACTTGAGCATGTGATGTCTAGAACCATCTATTTGTGGAGGTTATGTGATGTGTCTATTTTATATAGTATTTTATCTCCGTCCCTTGGTCGTAATTAGTAGTGTTTTTGGCTCTTTAGAGCCACTTTTATTACTAATTGATGTTTTTCCAGTGTTTTCGTAGATTTGGTTGACTTTTGCAGGGATTTATACTTTTTGAGTATTTTTCCGAGATATTTTGGAGAAATCACGAACATTGGAGAAGCACGACCAGATTTTATAGCCCAGGGCCGGTTAGAGCCATCAAACCGGTGATTAAGGGCTTGGTACGTGTGATACCGGGGCATTTGGATCGAGTATTCAAGACCCAAAGAGGAAACCCAGATTGGCCCGAAGAATTGGAGCCCAATCGTAGTCCAAATAGTGGCCCAAGAGAGCCGCCCGGCCAAAAAGGCTGGCGCCCGGAGGCGCGCCCAGACGGGCGGGAGAAGCAAAGGTTGGCGCCCGGTGACGCGCCCGGCCGAGCGCGAGATTAGTAGTAATGAGCAAAAAAGGCGCGCCCGATCGGGCGGTGCCTCGCCCGATCGGGCGCGTGTTTTATTAGTTGATGTTTAACATCGTTTTAATTTGTTTTAGTTTAGGATTTTTGTACGGAGTATAAATACTCCTCCGTAATACGATTTTAGGATCTCTTCTCTCCTTTTTACTCTTTCTTTACTCTCTTAATTATTCTCTTAGAATCTTTTCTCTCAACTTTTGTTCTTAATTCTTCCATTAATTCCAGATTACTTTTTGGTAACAATTTCTTCCCCTTTAACTTCAGTTATTTTATTTGCTTCCTTGATTATGCTTTTAATTATTTATTTGATTAGTTTAGTTATGATGATTTGTGAGTAGTTTAATTTCTAGGGTTCATGGGGATCTAATAAATAATATGAAGGGGTAAATCGTTGTTGTTAATTATCAATGCTAGATTAATTTCCTATTGATTGAGTTAATGCTCTGTGACTAGATTAGGCCTATCTTTTATGCATGAGTCTGATAATATTAATTCAAGATTCGAGAGATGAGAATTGATGTTTAGGTCTAGTTTCAATAGGCAGGTTAATTTATAAATGGTTAAGTCGAGATTCGAGAGATGAGATTTAATACCGGTAGATTAATTCTGTGATTGTAATATGTAGAGGAAGCCCTTTACAATCTGGTTAATTGATGCATTGATGATTGACTATTATTGACTTTTGATATTGCATGATAATTTCTTATTGAATTGTTTTAATGTTTTACAATTGCGGCTTGTAAAAGTATAGCAATATTGAATTGATGAATCGAGCAGATGTTAATTTGATATTAAAGGTTATTTTCAATAAGAACTTAGATCTAGTAAATTGCGAGAGCCTGTTAGATCTATGTTGATTAATAAATTGCGAGAGCTTGTTAATCGTGTTATTTATGTAATGTCAATGATTGATTACTATGTTTTACCCTGGAGTATTATTTATTGGTGAACCTATGCCCTAGATCCTTTTATTTATTGTTTTCTCCCTATTCTTAATCTTTGTAGTTTAGTTTCATACTCAAATATAAATATTGGTTACTTAGATAATTTAGATTATAATAATTAATTAGGAGTAAAAAGACTTGTTTCCCTGTGGAGATCGACCATACTTCCCTATCTACTTTAGTTAGAGGATTTAGGTATTTACTTTTGATTAAGGGATACAACTTTACCCTGTCATTATGGAAGTTTCTAGAGAGGCGTTCTAAGTAGGATAGAGCGCTATAAATAGGCTCCAAGGCTCATTTGTACATTCTAAGTTGAAAGTTCAATACGAGAAACATTCTCAAAGCATTTGTGTACTATTGCAACTCGATCTCTAAATGTACAAGGAAACTAAGGCATGAGGGTACAAAATGAGTATTTAGGCATATTAGCAAGGAGGGGGAGTAAGAATTTCAATTACTTTGTTTGAATAGAGGAGAAAGGGGAGGGATGAGGTTTTGCATAGGTTGTACACAACAGAAACTCATTTTAGCATTTACTTAACATACATATTGATAAATATTTCATACATCAAACATCAATAATACACTACAAACAAACCATTAACATCTAGTGAGTCTAACCAAAATTATTCAACCTAAAAATCAGAAATATTTTCCAGTTCATGAATTAGTTTCATCCATTAATACTAGTTCTATTTCACGAATTAGTTTCATCCATTAAAACTAGTTCCATTTCACAATTTCTAGAGTAGAAGAGAAGAGAGAATATAACATGTATTATTTGACCTTTAATTTGAATATTTCAAAATCCAAAATCGAACATTTTTTTCAAGAGGTGGCAAAACCTTATAAATTGGTGGAAATCTTGAAAGTAGGGGAAGAGAGAAAATAAGATTGATTATAATATATAATATTATAAAAATAAAAGAGTACAATTGTCTTTTCACAATTAAAATTTGGAAACATTTTAGGATTTTTTTGTAAATAACCACCCCTAAATGTACCCTATGTTGAATTAACCACCCATTTTTTTTTGAAATTATAAAATACCACCCGTAATTTACAAAACCAGTAGGTTTTACCACCCTTACTACTATTCCGACCAATTTTCTTACCAATTCTTGAATTAGGGTTTTAAAATAAAAAAATTAAACTAAAAAAATAAAAATTAAACCCATCTATGCCATCTCCGGTTGCACGACAACCTTGCCACCTCTGGCACCCTCCCTTTCCCGTCTCCGTTCCGGCACCCCTTCTTTTCCCATCCTTGTTTAAGGCCCCTTTTCCCCCTCAATAATTTCGACCCCCTCCTTGATTTAGGATATAGTTTCAGGGTTAGGGTTTCAAGTGAGGGTTGGAGCTGAGTTTCGGGCTAATAGGGGATTTCAAGGTTGTAGAGGGTGGCTTAGGGGTTCGGTTTCAGGCGAAGGGCAGGGATACGAGTTTCAGGCGAGGGATTAGGGATGTGTTACGGGTTTCAGGCGAGTGTGTGGGGATAAAGATTGATTCTTCTTCTGGGGCACCCTGCCTGATACGAGTTTCAGTCGGTGGTCAGAGTAGAGGGTCCGAGGTTGGAGGATTTTAGGGGATCTAGTTTGCCGGTAGTTGGGGGAAGATTGAGCGTCGGCGAAGAGGTTGTGTTGGACTCTTGCAGTGAAGGGGAGGGGGAGAGTGCGGAGCTGGTTGACGTGGGTGGTCCGGCGGAGCTGGGTGTCCCGATGGTATGAGAAGGGAATGGGATGACTGCTTTTTTGTATAAAGAAAATTTGATTTTTTTTTAAAATTTTAAACCAATAGGGTGGTGACACGTGGGCCTTCAATGGGAAAACTGACCAGAACATAAGAGGGGTGGTGAAACCTAGTGGTTTTGTAAATTAGGGGTGGTATTTTATAATTTCAAAAAAAAAAGGGTGGTTAATTCAACATAGGGTACATTTAGGGGTGGTTATTTACAAAAAAATCCAAGATTTTATTATTAAATAATTACACAAATCTTTTCATCCATCCCCTCCCCTTCATTTCCCTTACCCCTAAATTGTTATCCAACCATGGATTTAATCCTCTCCTTTTCCCTCCATTATTACTTATCCAAACACACGTTTAGACTTAATCAAATTCGTAAATAGACCTGGTTCACACTAATTTATTGTGGACCATTAACATTAGAGACCAAATGATTGTTTTATTAATAAAAAAAAATCACTATATTAAAATAAAGGTTATTATGTTGAAATAAAAGTTATTCTGACATTATAAAAGCTATAAAAGTTTAATTTTTTTTAATGATTTTTTTTAATATAATGGTCAATATGAATAATAAAAATCACTATGTTAAAATTAGGTCACTATTCAATTTAATGTCGTACTCTAACTTCGTAATAACATTAAAGGTCACTCAAATTTTTAAAAAGGTTACTGTGTTAAAAATAAGGTTATTATGTTAAAAATAAGGGTCACTATATTGAATATAATGCCAGTTACGTGTGAATAAACTTTAGGTCCACAATAATATTATTGTGAACCAGGTTCACGCAAGATTTTCTGCGTATTTCTATAAAAATGTTTTCATTAACCTTTAGATGATTTAAATTCGTTTGATATTGTTTCTATTAATACAATTTTTAAAGAAACAAATAATGTCGATTTGGTTGACAATTTGGAGAGATCGATTGTATACACACCTGGGTAGACCGAGTGTATATAACAATTTATAAACAATTTGACAAGCTTAATAGTTAAGCGATAATCCATTTACAATAAACTTATATAAAAACTCGAGTTCATTAATAGAATACAATAAATTTCAATGGAAATTGTAATCCAATTATTTGAAACTATTTAGTGATTATGCCATTGAGCTTATTTTATATGGACATTTAATTAACTCAACTTATTTTATGTGAATCTATCCAAACTTATTTTATAAACTTTATGAGACTTATTCTGTATAAATCATTTATTTATACTTATTTTATCTAAAATTATTTGGTTGGAATTAAAATATTTGTGTATGTAATTGTCTTTATTTTTGTATGTCTAATTAATTTTCATATCCCATATGTACTTTTGTTTGAAATATAGATGTAAGTCATGTAGCAACATGGTTGCTCACTCACAAACATAAAGATTGAAGGCACTTATTTTCCATCATCACATTTATGATAGAATAAGTAATGTAATAATTAATTTATTATTTCCATGGGCCATTCTTTTCTATTCAAAAGATGGATTATCTACACGAATTTCCGAAGATACACAAATTATAAGAAAATCGATCATAAATAAATTGTATTGTTTACTCAAAAATTGCATCCAATTAGATTATCTAAAAACTTGATTTGGTTATAAATATTAAGATGCAGAGTACATTATTTTCTATAATCTTTTCAAATTAGGTTGTACCAAAAGTGAGCACATTCGGTGGTTCGGATCATAAATTTGCAAAAATGTCATATTGTGAGAATAAATTTACAAAAATCCATTAATGTGTGTCTAGCTACATGCTAACCCCTTGCTCCCTCTCTCTTTCCCGATTCATATATTACATTTATAATGTATTGGCTTCGCCATTAACAACATTGGTGTCTAAACAACTATTAAGTTTTTATTTGTAATTTTTGCACTTGAGTTTGATATATCATTGGTGAGTCTTTCTCTACGTGAATATTTCCTTTGATGACCAAACACAAGTAACATATTACTGCTTTTAAAATATTTTTGAGCCTGATACATAAAATTCATCCTTATTTACAGACTGAATGCTGACAACCTCCAGTTTACCGAATCATCAAGAATGATAAAGTCACAGATTCAGGTTCGTGTCTATCATTTTAATCGCAAATTTGTTCTATGTATCAATATTTCTGCACTTGTATTTTACGAATCTAATTTTTTCTATTTAAACACTGAGATACTTTATACTATGTATTAAATATAATTATTTTTCCGATTGACAACATTACTATTCTATCCCAAAAATCCTACATTATTCCCTCATTTTTACAATTTTATAAAAACATAGTTCCCCACGTCCAAGCCCACTTTGCTTCCTCTTACTATTTAGATCCCCTTACCACTATTACACATCTTTTTAGAGAGAGAAAAACAAGATACTCAATTTTTTGTGAGAAAAAAACAAAACCAAATTTTATTTATTACACCAAAAGAGAGGGAAAAAAAAAGAAAAACAAAAAAAAACCAAAATTTTGTTTTTTTATTTATTTATTGTCTTGGGAAAAAGAAAAAAAAAATCCACGAGGGAAAAAAATTATTTTTATTTTTAATTTTTTTTTTTGAAACGAAGAACCAACAACGTCGAGGTCGAAAAGCTTGTATTTTTTTTTCTGGGAAAAAGGGGGAAAACAAAAACAGCAAAAAAAAAAAAAGAAAAATTGAGTACACTTCGATTTGAGGACGTGTTTGCATGCTTCGAAATTTTTACAGAGAAATTGGAGAGAGAAATTGGTTGATAATTTCATGAAATTTTGCTGGGAATTGGTTGTTTGAAAAGGGGGAAAAACAAAAACAAATTTTATTTTATTTCATTTTCGTTTTACAAGCCCTAAAAAAACCCTAGTTTGGAAAATTAGGGCAACGGATTTCATACTTTGCTTGATTCTCGTGCCCTAGAGTTTGTATCTAAGGGTTTCGCGTTGCGCGGGTGTTGTATTTTGCTCAGGTGATCTTCTCGACCTTCAATTTTGACCTAATTTTTTGTTTTTTGGGTTCGCAAACCCTAGAATGTCATCAAGTTTGGGAAATTAGGGTTAGGGGATGTTAAATTATGTTCAGTTTGTCTTGATTTTAGACTTGTTTGGTCAATTGATGAACTGGGGATTATCGAAATGTGATTATCCTTGCATTATGCTGCTCAATTTTTGTTGGGATGGTGATGGGGTGCTTTTTTTTGTTAGTTCTTTAAATCTCGAAGCTTTTTATCTGTGGCATTGAATGCTAAACTGTAATTTGAGTTCGCTCTAGATGTTAAGTGAAGCTCGTCGTCTGGAGGTCATTATTTGATCATTTCTAGTCAAGGTTTTGTGTTGCTGGCATCTGTGGAATGTTGTTCTAAGGTGAAATGAGGAACCATTGTTTCATTTATTTGTTCGCTTGTTAATGTTGTTATTAATTAGCTTTGATTTCGTTGTTTGCTGATACTGCACGGTACAATTTCGGTACACCTTCTGCTAGTCTGTACAGTTTTCAAACTTTGCTGTGGCTGTGTTCTGCTACTAATTCAGTTTGTCTCAGATAATTAGTCTTGGTTATATCAGCATTAGAATAGATACATATCTGCCCGCCTATTTGATTTTAGAGTGTTGAGAACACTGCTCTTACCCCCCCCCCCTCTCCTCTTTTACTATTTTGTTGGTCAATTTGTATTAAATGTCAATATCCATTTACATGTTAACAGTAGTTTTTGTTCACAATGTAACTGTTGTACAAAGATAATAGTTATTCAGCTAATGAGAAAAGTCATCGTGGTATTAATATATATGATCCAAACAATATTGTGAGTTTCAGGTTTGTTTCGTCAAATTCTTTGTTCTTACCTTCTTTTACGAACAAATTATTGATAGTTGTCCATGATATTCCTCAATAGTAAATGGAGTATGGCACGAGAGCAAGTCAAAACTCCCTCATCGTTTTATTGGAGGGTTGCTGTGAGTATGTATAGTATATGACATACGGAATTACATTCTAGATTGGCAGTGTCAATGGGTATTTGTGTATCATAATTTTCCCTACATAAGTTATTTGAATGCCTGAGCAATAAACGTTTTTAATATTTGTAATCTAGTAATAAAGTCTATTGCAGCTAGGATAAGCAACGAAAAGGAAAATCTGACAATATTAATGGAAAAGCTACAATTAGTGAATAAAATAAGTTTACGTAACATACATATACACACATTTGTGTGTGCATGAATGCGCATTAACACACAATCACATGCATACATATACTAGTTATGAATTTATGTAAAGAAGTATGGCATGTGTGTGTCTATATAGAAGGTGGGGTTATTCGAAATGGATTTTGAAAATTATGATTTATAACGTTAAATATTCAATAAATCTGAGATTCAATGACACACAACTGTTGGTAGTAGGAACCTGAGCCATTTAGTTTCTTTTATTGCACTGTGTTTGACGTACTGCTCTGAGCTCTCCTAATTTTACCCTGTATCTCCTTTCTCTTCAATTCTCTTTACTTGAAATTAACTATTGGCTGGCCATCAAAGGATTCAAGCAACTGTCTAGACTTTCTTTGATGGTTTAAATATCTTTTCTTTTTCTTTTGTTTTTACTTGGAACGTTTAAAACACCCATTGTCCACCCATTCTTTCTAAACAATATCCACTGTCCACTCATTGTTTCTAAACAGCTTCTTCACCTGTTTTTCAATTTTTATTCATATGTGGCTTCCTACTCCAATTGGTAGTTTGGAGCTTCAATATATATATTCTCTTTCTCTCTTAGATTTTTTTTTACTGTATAGATGTTTATCGAGTTAGTTGGGGCTTAATTTGGTAAATTTTGCTAGTATCCAAAATTATTGATCAGAAAGCAAGCTTATTATTATTTTTTTCTTGTTCAAATTTCCTGTAATTGATCTTGCTCTCATTATTGAATTCAAGTGTTGAGGTTCAACAGGCCCGAATTGTGTGCCTTTATTGTGAATTTATTTGTAACTTTTTTTTAAAAAAAAAATCCTAAAATTGTAATTGAAACAGTAAGCCACTTAACTCCGATAAGGGACTTTTGCCAAGAATTTTCATTTTTTCCCTGTTTAGTTAGATGTTTCTGATTTTGGTAATATATATCTTGAATGCATGATATCGTAGTGCTTGATTGTTTGCTAGGAAGTCATGGATTTGTCTTTCACTTTCAGATTAGTTATTGGGCTGCTTGCTTTTTGACGACAAGGCCGTTAGTTGAAAGAAGGGGGGGAGGGTGCAGGGAGCAAAGATAAGAGGGGTTTTAAGGATTATGGCAAAGGTTTTTTGGTACTCATTTAGTTTCAAACCTGTTTTCTATAGTCTATAGTTATCCTATTTAACTGCTATTCAAGTTTTGTGCTAAGCAGTTATAATTTCTCTCTCTCTCTCTCTCTTTTTTTTTTCTTTTTCTTTTTCATATTTTTCTATTCCAGTTTCTTTATTATGACTTTTTTATTTCCTTCTTTTTATTTCATCTTTTTTACTGTCAAAGTTTATTTATAATTTGAGGTAACTAATTTTTTTTTTGTAATCTTCTTTTCTTTAGAGACCTGACCAAGTTTTAGAGCAATGGAAGGGGACCAGCTATAGCTTTCTTGATAGGAATGCATGGATTTAGTTCTGGATCTACTTTCCTCGTAAATGCTGAGGTTGATTCCATGGGAGGAGTTGTTGACGGTGGAGTTGGTATTGGCAACAAACCCTCTCCACGCCGAGCAGCAATTGCTAAAGCGCATGCTGATCTACGGTAAGATGGATTTATCTCTTATAGATTGTTGTTTTTTTTGGTTGTTTTACCTACAATACTTACACTCATGACAGACTGGAATATGATGTTCGAGAGGAGAGGAGGAGAGAGCTTGAGTTTCTTGAGAAAGTAAGAATCTTTATCATCCTTTTTCAGTGCATCAATGCCATCCTCTATTGCTGTGTGGTTCATGTGTCAAATACTTTGTTGCTAATGCCCTTCTCTTTGCAGGGTGGAAATCCTCTTGACTTTAAATTTGGTCATGCTTCGTCAGTGAGTGTCCAGTCTACTTCACATACATATCAAAACCCAGATCAGATTTTGACCAGGTAGCTCCTTAACTTGATTTCGTATGCAGAAGTGTGGAGAATATGTATTGATCAGTAGTTATAATTTTGTTTAATTATTATTGTGATACAGCGAAGCAAAAGGCAGTTTTGCTCTGACTGCCTCACCTCATGGAGATTCTGTTGATAGTAGTGGGAGACTGGGTATTACGACAGCCTGTGAACCAAATAGTGCTGATAATTTTGATGGTGATAACGAGACTCTTGAAAGCGAAAGGAAGGCTAAACATCCTACTAGGGCTAGCATCACTCCTTCAGAGCATTCTTCTCAACTTGATGGGAGCCAAAATGTCAAAGATTCCGAGGACTCCCCTATTTTTCAGCCCAAAAAGGGTCAAGCATATAAGAGAAGGAATCGGTCTCGGACAAATCGTGATGGCCCTCGATCAAGTTCAAGTGACATGGCTACTCGTGGTGGACATAATTCCGCTTTGCCTGGTCGACATGGATTACTTTCAAAACCAGTTGTTCCTGAGAATAAGTTTGTAATAGAGTCAGATGGCACACATGGCTTGCATTTGTCAACAACCTCTAGACCTATTGAAATTTCTGAAGGTAAGTTAAATATGTCAACTTTAAAGGATAAACAGGAGGAATTGGGTACTTCAAGGGTAAAAGCTGATGATGTTCCTGCTGCTACTACCTCTGTCAAAACTGATCTAGCTGCAGTAAATGAAGATGTAGTTACTGTAGACGCTGAAGGTCCTCCTGGTTCTGGTACAGAGAAAAAGGAAGTTATCGCTAGTTCTTCCCAACCAGACGAGTGTGGTAAACTCAATGGTGATGGCAAATCGACACCAAATGATGCCCTTATTTACAATGCTGCAGTTGCTACTAAAGGAATAGATTCTGAGTCTTCGTGCACCCATACTAGCATTAGTGTAGATGGAAATGGAAACATTGAGAGTGATTTGTATACTAACTTAAAGAATGTAGATAGTAATGGGGCCCCTAAGGAGCACAAGCTACCACTTGGGGATAAGTCCATCAGTGTAGATGATGAAATGCTGTATGAGAAGCATGTTACCAATACAGTAGAAACTTCTTGTGTTAAGGATGTTCAGAATTCTATCAGTCACCAAGGCAATGGCTTTGCTGATAAGGATCAAGAAGTTGAGGTAGATAAATCTTCTTCTAGAGACAAGCCTGAGTGTCCTAATAATAGAGAGGAGTTAGGGGCAAATGATCATGCTGAGACAAAACCCGATAAAGAGCATGGTCTCCTTGGTGATTCTGTTCCCAAAGCAGAGAGCTCTTGTCCTGTGGGACCACTTTCCTCTGTCGAACCTTCTTCCCGTGAGGTGAATAACAATGAATTTTCTGCTCCACCTCCTGCGCCGAAGCCTCAAACTTCAAATGATAACCAGCGGAAGCAGTTTGACAAGGCACATGAGGACAGGGTATTAGAAGAGGCACGGATTATAGAGGTATTTTTTTTTCCTTTTTTCTTCATTTATGATATCTTAGCTCTTAGATTGTGTACCTGTTGCTTTTTGATCAAGGGATTATGGTTTTTCAAACAGGCCAAACGTAAAAGAATAGCAGAGTTATCTGTTGGTTTGATGCCAAGGGAGCACAAACGTAAATCTCATTGGGACTTTGTTCTTGAAGAGATGGCTTGGTTAGCAAATGATTTTTCACAGGTCTGTTAAGCCGAGCCTGTCTTTTATTTGTCTTTGCCACACTTTTAATTCGTTACTTCCTCTAGTCCTGGAGTTTGTGATTTCTGTTGCCAGACATTTCAGGAAGTTCCATCAGTTTCATGTATCTTTCTTATCTCATTTATTGTACTCTTGAATTTTTTCTAGGAGCGTGTTTGGAAGATAACAGCTGCTGCTCAACTTGGCCATCGGGTAGCCCTTGCTTCTCGGTCAAGATTGGAGGAACAACACAAGTTTATGAAGCAGAAAAGTGTGGCCCATACTTTGGCAAACGCCGTGATGGAGTTTTGGCATTCAGCAAGTCTTCGTGCTGAGAATGGTACCAGTTCTCTTTCAGAAAAATGTATGAATGATGCTACATTAATGGCAGATGCAAGTGGACAGGCGAAGGATGAGGCTGGAGCTCCTGAAAAGGTATTGCGTGTCCGCTTATAATCTAATTTTTACCTTTGGAATGTGTGGTTTTCATTTTGTATTGTCATTTACTCCCTGTGTTTTATTTTGCTTGTCCCACTCTCTATTTTGGGCGTTTTAAATAGACAGTACCACTTTCTATTTCAATCCCTCACATATCCTCTTTATTTTCGCATATTACCCTCATTTTAATGGTCCCTATGCAAAATCATAACGGTCCCAATGTTTATTAGCCCCAATGTATTTTATTCCAAAAAAGGGATAGTTCCAACGTATTTTTTATGGTCCTAATGTACATGAATCATCCTTTTTCTTAATTTACGTTAAAGATTTTAAATGGGAATAACATTATGAAACGGAGGGAGTAATAGTTTGTCCAAATAGTCTGGATCAAATATGTTTTTTGTAGCAAGCTTACTCTATGTGCCTCTCTGACATAGTTGTATCATTGTTGCTGTCCTGTTGTTTATTGATTAAAATGAACAGTATTGATGCTGGATATGAATTTTATTATGATGTTATATTTCAATGTAGTGATGTCTTTTCAGTTCATTAGCCTGCTGTGTCACAGAGTTGGTATGCTCTAGTTTTTCTTGGGTAATTGTTTTCATTCTGTCCCATGTGAATCACAATAAAGTAACAAGTCTTAATGCAATTTTTCGTTGTGAATGGATATGCCTTCTGCTGCTTGATATCATATATGTTTTTTAGGTTATATTATGTAGTGCTAATGGTGTGTTACATTTCCTGATGTTATCTGTTATTAGATAGGAGATATTGCTTTTGAGTGCCTGTAACTTTATTATGTTTTTATTGGTCAGGATGAAGCTTCTGAAGAGAAGCTGCAATCAACTGGAAGTAAACAGGACCTTTCTCTCTATGGATATGCAGTTAGGTTTTTGCAATACAATTGCTCTCTAACACCTCTTGTCAAAGTTGAGGATTCAGGGACTCCGGATATTGAATATGATATGGACATGGCAGGAGTTTCCTGGCAGGACCAGCTAACTGAGGTATGTTTAGATTTTCATTGCTGTGCTGATTCGTACAACATTTGGTGCTATTGGGAATCACATAGAGCCATCTGTTTCTGTCCATGGGTTTCTTTGCTTAAAAGATGACATGTCAACATGTGTGTATGGTTGCATTCCACTTGTTTGCCTTTTGTTGGAATCACTATCCTTTGTACATTGCTCAGCCTGTTTATGTTGTGTATGATCTTTTATAGTTTAGACACCCAAGCCCCGTAATTGTTGTAGCTTAGTGAAATTGGGGGATTTAAGGAAGGGAAATCACTCAGCTTATCAAGATTTTATGAAAAGGGGAGTATTGTTTGATTCATTGCTATTATAAAAAAAACTAAGATATGTGAATTATAAGCTATTGTTTATGCATTTACCCAAGACAACATTTACATCCATATATTGGATGTTGAAATCTATATAAAATAAATACCATTATTTTGAGATAGAATGTAATGAAGGCTGGTTGGGGTTCTTCCTTTTGGACTGTGTGTAACTACATTAATTGGTTGAATACTTGAACCTAAAATCAATTATCCCCATGACAAATAGTTTTATGTGATTCCAAGGTTCTCAATTCCTCCTGTGGGCCTGTGGCTGATTTTATATTACAGTTTTTCTCACATGAGTGATGTGTGTTTTTATCTGAATGTCTTCAGAGATTGATTTGTATCATTGTATGTTAAATTTTACATGTCTCTCTGCTGTCTGAGAGGCCTTATTTTATACTCCTTTTTTTACCTTTTTTCAGGAAAATCTCTTTTATTTGGTTCCTCCGGGTGCAATAGAGACCTACAGAAAATCAATTGAATCATGTTTGACAGAGCTTGAGGTACACACATCTAGTCTTTGTAAATGTCGTGCTTTATATTCTAATTCTTTATGTTGAGCACTTCTTACATTGTTCTTTTATCACTAAGCTATTTTAGATCCCAGATAGTCATTGAAGGTTATGCAACCAATTATTGAGCTCTGCATTTTATATGTTTTTTTTTTTAATATTTATTTATTTATTATTATTATTATTATTATTTATTTATTATTATTATTTTTTAACCCCTTTATAAATGTGATTCTTTATAGCACATTTAACCTTCTCTCTTTATGCACCTTTCCATGGACGTCATGATAATTTAGAGGGCGAGCAACAATGTACAGGAGGAAGTTGATACATCCTTTTATGATGCTACAGCAGGTATTGCTTGGTGTGCTGACTTTTTTATATTAATTTTTGCTGAATTAGTGGTTATTATGTTTAACAATTGCTCTTTATTGTTTTAGAATTTGGATATCAAGAGAATGACTATGAAGAAGATGAAGGAGATAATGTTTACTACCTGCCCGGAGCATTTGACACTGGGAGACCATCAAAAAAGAAACGAAAAAATATGAAATCATATCCTTCTGCTAGATCATATGAATTGGGAGGTGATCTTGCCTATGGACGCTGTGTGGATAGCAGAAATGGAACCCCTCAGTCTGCCTTAATGGGAAAAAGGCCTGCTGACAAAAATTTTCATGTTGGTTCTATTCCCACGAAAAGGGTACGAACTGCTTCTAGGCCGAGGGTTGTGGGTCCTTTTGGTGCAGGGTCCACTGGTGTTGCTCCAGCACCAAGTAGGGCAGATGCTTCTAGTGGAGATACTAATTCTTACCAGGATGACATGAGCACTCTGCATGGTGGGTCCATTGTCCCAAGGGGCTCAGAGGTTGATTCTGCTATGGACTTTGAGAATCAATCTACATTTGATTCTGCAGAAATTTCGGCAAAGCCCAAGAAGAAGAAGAAAATTAAGCATCCGGTAAGTAATTTGTTAAACTGAATACTGGGTTAAATGATATTACTCTACTTAATTGTTTGCCTTATTCTCAATGGTTGCAGGGTGTGGCATATGACTCTAGGTGGCAGGTTGATTCTTCTTTCCAAAATGAGCAGGTGATCCTTGCTTTCTCGTAGCTTACTTCCATGTCTGGGAAGTTTGATAAGGATGAACGGGCTTTCAGTTAGTTGATATATTTTGGTATGAAGAGGCTATCTATTATTTAAAAACTGATTTAAACCAACGTTACCATACTTAATCTTGCCTCGAGGCAGGGGATATCGTTTGGTATTTATGGCCCAAATCTCTACAGTTAAAAGACATTTAAAATATTTGATTATGGGGTATTGCAATTATGAAAAAAAAAGCAGGATAACATAATCACTAAGATTTATAAAAGGAAAGGGCAAAGAAGCATCAACCTATGTATTAACTATGTTGATGCTCCTTTAATATTTATACTCATCATAAGCCTTTCTTCAAAAAACATAAGGTTTTCTGGCCATTTAATTCCAACCAAACTCTTTGGTTGTTAGTCTTCACTAATTCCTAGCCATCCTTTTGCTTCCTCCTACTGTAAACCTTTTTATTTTATTTTATTTTTGTATGAGGCATCCTTTATCCTTTCTTAAGACAAATTGTTCCATTTATATAGCTGTACTGAAGCAGCACAGCCAAGAGTTTCATATTAAACCCATCTGTTATTGTACATACATATTTTCAGATGACTAAATGGTGCCTCATTTGGTTTCCATTGTAACATTCTAGCACCTTTTCCTTAACATTTTGGCCCTTCATCAGTTCACACATATAATGTTTTGATAGGGGTTCCTAAAACTAATTGGTAGTGGTATTATAACTGGTGAGTTTGCAAGTAGGCATTAAGTGCTTGTGTATTTCTTGTCTTTTTAGTTGTGTAAAATACAATAATTTGATTGGGGTTCCTAGTGGTATTACTGCTGGTGAATTTGGAAGTGGGCATTAAGTGCTTGTGCATATCTTGTCTTTCTAGTTGTGTATGGTACTCCCTCGTCACTATTTTATAGTTACGTATTCTATTTTGGCTGTATCCTTTCTATTGTTACATTTTATAACTTTCCTGATATAGAATATTATTTTAATACATTTACCCCCGTATTTCACACTCCCAATACACACTTACCCTCATATTACCTACTTCTAATGCAACTTTTCCTATTTACCAAAATTTACCTATTCCTAAAGCAACTATTTCCATTTACCAAAATATTTGCCTACTCTCAAAACAAAATTTCTCATTTTACGTACTCCCAAAGTCTTTCGCTTAATTCCTGCGTTAAAAAAAATCAAATGTAACTTTAGATAATTGATGGAGGGGGTGACAGTTTGTGGTGAAGTGAAGTTTTTTAGATGAGTCTGGCATTTTTTATTGATATTTTGCTCAAACATAGATGCTTAGTTGTTATTCTTTATACTACCTCCGTTTCATAAAATCTGCAACAAACTTGGTTGCACATTTACCAAGGCAAAATTTCTTAAGCAAAGATTAGTAAAAAAGGGGCATGTGATTAGTTGGATGAGAGAGAAAGTAATCACCACCAACACCCACCTTGTAACCCACCCTCTCACCACCACTAAGATTTGAAACCTCACCACCACCACCCAAAACCCACCTAACCAACTCACACCACCACCAACCAGACCCAACCACCACCCAAAACCCACCCAACCAACTCACACCACCACCCAAAACACACCCAGCCAACTTGACCAGCCACCAATTATCAACTCGCACCAGCCGACAACGAACCCACCTGACCAGCCGACATCGAACCCACCAAACCAACCAACCCGACCAGCGACCACCCAACGAACCCACCTAATCAACTCGCACCACCACCCAACGAACCCACCCAATCAACCCGACTAGTCAACCACCAACAAACCCACCCAATGAATCGAAACAACCACCTTACCACCTCCAACAAACCGAAACCCCAACAAACCACCAATAATGTAGATCTAAAACCCCAACAAACCACCATTTAGATCTAAAACCACAACTTACCACCATCCAATTTCAAATTTGAAAAGGGGCGAACTTTGAAAAGCGGAAAAGAGGCGCCGGCGACGACTTTTGAAAAGGGGAAAAGAGGGGCGGCGGCGAACTTAAGAGGGGAAATGAATCAGCTACTTGATCTGAGTGGTGGTGGCAGTGCGGTGGTTGTGAGAAAGGGGAGAATAGGGCTGGTGGTGATGGGGGGGTGGTGGTGGTCGTGGTTGATTGAGAGGGAGGAGAGAAAAATTTGGTGATGTTGGTGGTGGATGTGGTTGTGAGGAGGAGAGAGAATGTGGGTAGATGTTTAATTATGGATAAATTAATTTGGGTTATTGAAGTTAAGTAAAATTTAGTAAGGGTATAAGTGTAAATTTACACCAAAAAATTTACCATATTAGGAAAGTTTTTTTTTTTGTTGCACATAATGTGTAGCTTCCGTTTTAGGTAATTGTTGCAGATTTTATGAAACGGAGGTAGTATGTGGTTAGCTTATGTGGTGGTTTGGATTATATGTGGACTTTGTCTGGGTGATACTCATGTCCTGCATCTTCTTTATTGCAAATACAGAAAGATCACTCAAGGAAGAGGTTGGACTGCCACCAGCCTGAATCCAATGGGAATAGTGGTGAGATTTTTTTTTTTTTTTTTTTAATCTCACTTTATAGTTACCTTTGTATAACCATATTAACTGATTGTTTATTCCACTCCCGTATCTTCCATATGTAGGCCTGTTTGGTCACCATGCTAAGAAGCCAAAGACATTGAAGCAGTCGTTGGATAATTCTTTTGATAACACAATGCCCATGAGTGGGTCAGTTGCTTCACCAGTTGCTTCTCAAATGAGTAACATGTCAAGCCAGAGTAAAATCATTAAATTGATTGGAGGTCGAGATAGGAGTAGGAAAGCGAAAGGGCTTAAGGTAAATATATTAAGAGTGTGTTTTGTTTTGTTTTTGTCTTTATAGTTATTGTAAAAGTATATGAATACAATACGAGGAACGACATTTAGACTAATTTTAATAAGTGCAGTCCCTCAGTGTATGACCTGATATGCCTCAACCACCTTGGACCCTTCTGTTGGTATAAAACAAAACTGTTGGTTGTTTTATGTGATCACAGCATGAACTGATGAACATTACTTGTAGGTGCCTGCTGTGCAGCCTGGCTCTGGAAGCCCATGGTCTTCTTTTGAAGATCAGGTTTGCTATCTCTTCCATTTCTTCTACCAGCTGTATGTTTTTATAGTTTGAGTTTGCCTGATATTCTTTGCTCTCTTTTGCTCTAGGCACTTATTGTGCTTGTTCATGATATGGGTCCAAATTGGGAGCTTGTAAGTGATGCTATTAACAGTACATTGCGATTCAAGGTATTCTGAGGAACTGTTATGATCAGTGATTTTTCACTTGTTCCACAAATAATTCGATTTTTTACTGTGAAACTTAATTATTGAAGTTTTTTCCTTTTGCCAAAGAGATAGTGCTTATTAATTCTTGCCGATTTTTCCAGTGCATTTTCCGCAAACCTGAAGAGTGTAAGGAGCAGCACAAAAATTTGATGGAAAGGACTCCTGGTGATGGTGCTGATAGTGCTGAAGATTCAGGATCTTCTGCACCATATCCTTCTACGTTACCTGGGATACCAAAGGTAAATTAATAGGCTATTCTAAGTTACTATTTTATTTATATGCTTTAGAATTTCCTCTCATGTACAAATGGAAAACTGATTTGCTTGTAATGACGCGTTCTCCTTGATGCATCCTAGTGTTGGGGAAGCTTGCTTTTTCTGAATGTATCATACTTGGTTTTTTCAGGGCAGTGCGAGACAATTGTTTCAGCAACTGCAAAGACCGATGGAGGAGGATACTATCAAGTCCCATTTTGAGAAGATTATTCATATTGGGCAGCAGTTGCATTACCGGAAAAAAACAGGTTTTATTTTTATTTTTATTTATTTATTTATTTATTTATTTTTATTCATTATTTTGTTTTTTAAAAATGCATAGGCATATGATTTGAAAGATTGCTTATGCTTTCAATAATATTATAAATTGGGAAATAACTACTGTGTGATTAAGGGTCATTCAGAATCATCTTTAATGTCATACAGTATCTAATCATTCTTCTCTATAGAGGCATTGTAATAAACTCAGTTGGACTAATATGTATTATATATTCACTGCTGCTATCCCATATTGCTCAAGATTAGTTCCCTTCATCCAATTCCTGGTTTGTGTTGGAATTTTTGATAGTCTCTATTGTGGTGCTACTTTGGCCCTTTGTTTGAAGGCATTGTTGAAGTATTGTTCGCTATAACTTAAGGTGTTAAGCAATGGCAGTTACAGATGAGTTTCTTATTAACAAACTATAATTGCTAAACTATTCTGCAGTTCTTATATGAGGTTTTGATAGTTTGCATTTAATTAATTGCTTGTGGTTTTATAGCAGTTAACGGTGAGTCACCTGCTTTGAAAGTGGTGCTTGCTTTGTTTAGCTTTTCTACATGTGAAATATATTGGAGATCAGAGATTAGTAATGTTTTGTCGAGATACGAAAGTTTTTTATTGCTATTCATTGTGAAGCAATTGATGCAATTTGGACAATAGATTGAATTATAGATTACAAATAACATCTACTGTTGCAAATTCATTTTTTTTTTAATCCAGCGGCATACTTGAGTTTAATGTTATCGACTTATCGTCCTTATGGTATACACTTGTGTTTTCCTTTTGCTTGTTTTTGTCTCATGGGAATGATGTGTGATTATTATTCAAGATTGAAAGTAATTCTATTCTGGCTAACCATTAAAAGATCTTTGGTGACTGTAAAATGGTTAACGTGCCTTTTAAAAATCCCAGAAAATCGACTCAAATTCAGATGAATTATGTTTTTTTTTTGGTTTGGAATTTCTCCTGTGAAGTTGTGGGATTATGCAACAAAAAGTTAGGAAAACTTACTTCATTCAATTGTGTAAGCAGTATTAGGGTTTCCTACCTTGATTTTGAAATCTCTTTTAATTTCTAACTTGATCTTTCCTGCTTGTGAAGAATGATAATTCAGACCTGAAGCAAATAACTCCTGTTCATGGTTCACATGTTGGTGCACTTTCCCAAGTCATGCCGAACAATTTGAATGGGGTGATTCTGACGTGAGTTTTATTCATTGTTTAGAACTTTTGAAGTGTTTCCTAGGATGTGATGATCTTTCATTTATTGTTGTTTGTCATCATTACTGTTATTATGTTCAATTCTAGATCCTCATTTTTGTTTTCACTTCTGCCAGGCCACTTGATCTGTGTGATATTGCTGCATCCAACCAAGATACAATTCCTCTTGGGTTTCAAGGTTCGCATGCTGGAGGGTTGACATTGCCAAATCAAGGTGCTAGTCCGTCAATGCACCCATCTAGCGGTCTCTATACCTCAATCTCAGGTCTTCCAGGTTCTCCTAGCATGGGCATTAATAACAATATGGCATCTCAAACTCAGTTTTCCAACTCTCGGTAATTCTTTATGATTCAAGATTTCAAGATCATGATTTGCTGTGGCATATCTGTGAATGAATCTGCTCGATCTTAACCTTTTGCTTTGCTAGGGATGCTAGATACCCAGTCCCTAGGTCTACAGCTATGCCTATTGAGGAGCAGCAAAGACTCCAGCAATACAATCATATGCTGCCTGGAAGAAATGTTCAGCCGTCAAACTTGTCGTCTGGGTCTCTTTCAGGATCAGATCGTGGTGTGCGTATACTTCCTGGTGGAAATGGTGTTGGTATGGGAGCTGGAATGAGCCGAAGTATGCCAATGTCAAGACCAGGAATTCAGGGGATTTCATCTTCATCAATGCATAATACTGGAAGTATGCTTAACTCCAACATGGGAGGGATGCCTAGCAACATGAATGTGCACTCTGGAACAACTTCTGGTCAAGGAAACTCAATGTTTAGACCTCGTGATTCATTGCACATGGTGCGGGTGAGTTTTTTTTTTCCCTTTCCTATGTAGTCTTCTCCTCTGTTATTCTTTGCTTCGTTTCAAGTTACTGCATTCCTCCATATGGTGCCTCACTACTCACATAGTCTAAAACTAATCGGAGGAGATTTAGATATTTTTTATAAATTCAATATGTCAATTTCGTTGTTAATATTTTTGTTCTATATAGTAACATTAATGTTTTCAATCTGCAACTGCATAAAGCAGCTGAGTAATGTTAACAAATATCATTTGATTAACAAAAAAAAAAAATGTTATAGAAAATTTTGGGGGCCTTGGAAAGAGAGGGGAGGGGAAGTGACATCAATAGTGATCTAACAATCTGATTAAACTGAGACCGTAACAAGCTGTTTCTGTACATATTTTTCTTTTTAGGGACCTATTTAAATTTCTTTTTTTATTTTTATTTTTGGGGGGTGGGGGGGGGGGGGTGGATGATGGCTAGTTCCATAATGCATAGGATGAATACTCAACATTATTTCATTCAGTGCAACTTTCTAATCTCGCTCTACATTCCTTCTGTGTACAGCCTGGGCAGAATGCAGAGCATCAGCGGCAGATGACATTGCCAGAATCTGGGAGCCCAGGTGTCCCTCCTTTTGGTGCTCTGAGTTCTGGGTTCAATAATCAGTCTGCTTCTCCACCTCTTCAAGCATATGCTGGCCACCATCATCAGCAGCATCTAATGACGCAGCAACATTCTCATGTGCTTGGTACTCCTCATCTTCCTGGATCAAATCACTCTGTCACGCCAGAGCAACAAGCCTTTCTCCGCCTTGCTAGAGACAAGCAAATCCAGCATAGATTGTTGCAACGGCAACATCAACAGCAACAGCAACAGCAACAGCTTCCTGCGTCCAGTGCATTGATGACCCATGCTCAAACTCCTTCCCAGCTACCTGTATCATCTTCTGTTCAGAACTCTTCCCAGCTTCAATCACCATCTTCTTCTCAGCCGGTGTCATTACCTCCTCTGACTTCGTCATCCCCAATTACTCAGGTGCCTTCCCAGTCATCGCTGCAACAAAAGCACCAGGTGGGAAAAGCAACACCTCAAGGGCTTGGGAGGAATGCGCAAAGTGGCCCAAGTGGATTAATGAATCAAGCGGGAAAACAACGTCAAAGACAAGCTCAACATATACAGCAGCAGTATCTGCAATCTGGCAGGCAACATCCGCAACAGCGTCAACAATCACAACCTCAGCCACCAGCTAAACTATTGAAAGGAATGGGAAGAAATAATGTACTGATGCATCAAAATCTTCCTATTGACCCGTCTAATCTGAACGGCCTTACAGCTAACTCAGGAAACCAAGTTGCTGAGAAAGGGGAGCAGGCTGTGCATTTGATGCAGCCTCAGGGCTTATATCCAGGATCTGGTCTAAATACGATGCAACAACAGAAACCTCTGGCTTCGCCCCATAGTTCAAATCAGTTGCAACATCAAAAACCATATGCAAATTCAGTTTCGGCAGTACCAAAACAAGGCCAAATACCTTCTCACTTAGATGGTAGCAATAAGAGCCAGGTTCCAGTTGTTTCTTCTAATCCAGCATCTGGAGGGTCAACCCAAGGACTTCCCTCAACGATAATGCCTTCTCCTAACCATCAACCGTTACAAGGACAGTCACAGCCTCCCCTTAAGGTGGTTAGTCAATCTCAGCCTGCTCTTCAGAGGGCAGTTCATCAAAATCGTCAAGTGAATTCTGATTCTTTGACCAAGTCGCAACCTGATCATGCCCCTTTGGAGCAGCAGTATGCGAATAATACTTCAACTGCAGGGGTTCAACCAGCATGTGCTGATTCTACTAGTGCTGTGCCTCCACCATCTTCTGCCGGCACTGCTGTGTGTAAACAAGCTCTGGAATCTCTAAGCACTCCAACTTTAACTAATCCACCCACAGCATCAGGTCCTTTAAGTAGTCCTGCTATTACAACTTCATCGGATAATGAAACTTTGCCGTCAGTTAACGATGGTCTGGGGCAGAGGCAACTATCAGGTAACTTGGCAGTTCATGGGCACGGGGTACAATTTCAGCACCAACAATCACAGGTACAACATCCATCACCACTTCAACCCATATTATCGCAAAAGCAGTCACAGCATCAGCTGCAGCAACTTGAAAAATCCCCCCAGAGAGCACCCCAATCGCAGGCTCAGTCACAGATTCAAGCTGGGCAAAGTGGTGTTTTTGCAAGGACCCCTAATTCGAGATTGGAATGATCCTCCCCATTTATTGAGTGCCAGTCTCGGCACGCTTGTACCTGCCAAGATCAAGTCGGCATGCTCTTGTAACAGCAATGTACAGGTGAGTTTCAATTGAGTCTTCCATTTTCCTCCAGATCAGGTGTTGCATCTAAACTTGTTTTGTGGGAGTGTGATGGGTAGTGTCTGTTTCTTTCTTCTTGGATGGGTTATGGATAGTGACAGTAGGATTAGACACTTGGCAGTTATTTGCTTGGCATGGTATAATATGAGTTGTACTTTTTGTTGAAAGGAAATTTAAAAAGGTAAACTGGAAAAGACAAGAAATCACTATAAAATGTGGTAAGCTGCTACCTAATTTACCCCTTCCCTCAATTAACTTTGGGCATATGTTTACTCCCACACCCAGCCAATTTTTTACTTGCAATACCTTGGGGATTTTGTGTTTGGATGGATTTTAGATTTTTCTGTGAAACATGGCTTCCTTATCCAATTACTCCCTACTAACTTCTTAAAAATCACCTTGGGTCCGTGTAATTACTCTTCCTGGCTTTCTTGTATACCTGTGAGGCTGTGCTTGTAGATTGATTTGTGTGTGTGTGTGTGGGGGGGGGGGGGGGGTGTTCATTCCAATCTCGAATTTTTTATTTTTTATCTTTCCTTGTTCTGAACTTTAGAGCTTGTTGAATCTGATTTGTCTGTAACATCAAGCCTAATTACAGGTTGTGGAAAATTTTGGAAGCATGCCCATCTCTAACCAAATTTTTATTCTTTATTCTCGCCTCTATTCCTTTGTTTTGTTAACTATAATGATTTTTCTCTTGGGTAGCATGCTCATGTTTTGTGGGTCCTCTAAGTTTCTTTATGCTACTTTTATCATTTAATTGGCTGGCTGGCTGTGGCTACTTCTTTTCCTCTGTTTGGGCAATTGAAAGGTCTCTAGATTGCATCTGTGTCTCTGGTTCTTAGTTGTGACCATTTTATTTCTGTTGGGCTAAATTAATTTTATGGGTGTCATTTACTTTGATGCTAACTACACTATGACACATTACTTACAGATGAAGCTGTAAATCTGCAAGGGCACTACAGGAAAAGGTATATGGGATGATGATCGTAACTTTCATGTTACTGACTTGACAAGTTTAGGCAGGCTTTTTTTGGGTTTATAATGTATATTACCACTGCTTAGAGCTTTGTAAGATAGAGATTATAGAGGTGTGTATGTACAGGATCTCATCTCTCTATCTTGTTAACCACCCTTTTTTTAAAATCCTTTTCCTTTTCCCCTCCCCAAACTTTGGGTTTTGCGCTCATCAATATGGGGTCTTATTCCTTTCCACCCCCAATAGTTAGTCCATGTATTATTTTGATTAGAGTTAAGGGGGGAAGCTTCATTGTTACAGGCAAATGCCTTTGAAAATTTTGTGAATATAGCTTCGTAGTGTATAATGATTTTTGTAATCATTCTCTTGATCACCTTTTGTTCTCTTGCTCTAATTGTAACTTTTTTCATAGTAATGTTAGTATGTATTCCTTGTTTGTAAGCTGATTTTACGAGAATTCTGCAAATGTTAGTTTAAACATTTGCTCTCCTTGGTTAAAAAAATTTGAATGATGTGCTGCGGTTCAATAGCTTTGAATCTATGTCCTTGATTTCCATTCCGCTATATGAAAGAAAGAGATAACGTGAACAGCTGAAAATGAAGCAGCGAGAGAAGAACAAGCCTGTTTATTTTTTCTTTGCAGGTATGTAGTCCTGGTTGGGAGAATGATGTGTAATGGAAATGTTACCTTGAGATGATTAGTTTGATTACTGAGTTATGGGATACGAGGAGCAATCGAAAGAGGTTATGTCCTGCACAAGTACGGCTCTAATTAGTGTGGTTGCCTCTTTCATATGTTCATTTGTTATGATTTCATATTTGATTGGTTCTTGAACTTGAACTGTTGTACGATAAATACATGTTAGCTCGTTTACATTTTGATCTTTGTTTTGTACATTTACAAAGAAGGAAGGCGTACGACAGTAAGCTGTATCAAGTTTCATGGAGATTATCTAGGAGCTTATAAGTTCGTATATAATCTAAATTCCTATCAGCCTTCCTACCCCATTTATTAATTATTATTTCCATGTTGCTATCATTTTTTTCCAATTCAAATGCGACTTGACAACCTAACAGCAGCGGCTCATATTATCAAACATCAAAATATGGTTCTATCTTCTAGTAGCAGTGCAGCACTAGTACATTTACGTACAGAGTTGATCACTTCCTGAAGCTATACTGCTATAGGCATTGCATATGTTTGTTCTAAATGATTACGAGTATATACGTGGTATTTACATTGGACCAATATTTTATTCACAGAGTTTCAAATGTGGTTGGCGCACCATACGACCAGCCGCAATATAATTTTTAATTTTTTTTTCTCTCTTTTCTCTATCTCCTATTCGCTTTCCTATTTTCTTCTTCCCACCTAAACACACCCCTTTCTCAACTTTCTTCTATCTCTCCTCTCTCTTCTTCCTCTCTCCTCTTTTCATCCTCTCTAGTTAACCAACTCAAATTAAACAAGTTAAATGGAGCAGCGGTGGTAGGGTAAGGAAGCTCCTTGACTCTGTCGCCGAAAAACAAGCTAGAGGTTTTAAGGCCTAATTCAGCCATGAAAACTCTAGATCTAGAGTTTTTATGGCTGAATTTGGACTTTTTAACCATTTTCAAGTGAAATTTGAAGCCAATATTAATTTTGAGGTATTTGTAGATTTAATTTTTTTTTTAACAATTTTAATTTATTTTATGGTTGTGGGTTCGGTTTGGTTGGATCTAGGCGTGGTTGTTAGTGGTACGGGAGTTGGTGGTGGTGTGGTGGAGTTTAAGGTTTAGAGGACGGCGGTTGAATAAGATTGGTGTTGGTGGTGGTTACGGTGGGTTTGGGTGTGGGTAAATGGTTACTAGGTCGGGGGCTACTAGGGGTTACTAAGGGTTGCTAGGTCGGTTAGGGCCTAGGGGTTACAGGGTTACTAGGTCGGTTAGGGGTTACTAGGTTAGTCAGGGGTTACTAGGTCGGGGGTTACTAGGGATTACTAGGTCGGTCAGGGGTTATTTGGTCAGTCAGGGGTTACTTTGTCTGGGAGGTTACCATTGGCGGACTTGGCCTTATGCATGGTGGGTCAAATGACTCACCAGGGCCCAAAATATTTTTTAAGTTTTTTTAAAAAAAAAAAAAAAAATTATTTTCTAAGTTTTTTTTTAAAAAAAAAAATACTAACTTTGAACCTTTTGTTAATGTTGTTGGGTTTTTGATGAAATGTGAACCTAATGCTTGTACAAATTTAATCTTGTCAATTATTAGTTTGTTAATTATTAGAGAGCTAAGCTTGTCATGTTGTCAATTATTACCTTGTTAATTATTAGTTTGTTAATTTTAGTCTTGTCAATTTTAAGCTTGTTAATTATTAGTTAGTACTGTAATCTTGTCAATTTTCTATTTGGATGATCTTTGTAAATAATTTTTCTTGGGAATTTTGGTAAATTTTTTCTTTTTACATATTTGGTTATCAATTGTGACTCACCAGTCGGAAATTCCTGGGTCCGCCACTGGAGGTTACAAGAGGGGTTACTTGAAGGGTTACTGATATGTCACCTTGTCGCACCAGAAACGCGATGTATTTTATTTTTGCTGAAGATAAGGATATCAGCAGCAATATAATGAAATTAATGAGGAAATCTGAGATCTCCAACAAACTATTTTGAATTCAATTGAGTTGTAAACCCGAATTATAAGTTTCAATACTTTTTTTTTTTTTTTTGAAAGAAAACAGTCGAAACACTACCCAATATTTAGAGTACAAATGATTCACTCAAATCATTTATGCATCAAAGCAATTATTATTCTAAATCTTCTTAGCTTGTTGGTGCAAAAAATCACATCCCAAATGCGTTCCTTGCTACCACACCTATGCTAGTCCGATCCAACCATCCTCGATCACCAACTGCAGCATCACAATTAACCTTTGCCACATTAGGAGGGGGCTTCCAGAGTTCCAGACCTTAAGACTGTTGTCCAAAGCTCCACATGCAGCTTGCAAACACCATAAATGGTAATATACCTGTTGTAATCTTCAGCTAGCCGCAAACCTCTATCAGCAATTAACTTGTGGGGCACTTCTTTGTTATTACATTAATACCAACAATTGTGCGTTATCTATTCTTGCGTTCTATTTGTTGGAGTTTTAATAGAGAACTCAAAGTAAGTTGTGCTTCAAAAGAATATGTAATTTCTCCTTTTATCAACATACATCGAAATATTGCATAGTAATTTTCTTGGCTTCTTAAATCAAGCTAATTTCTTAAAATATGCTTAATTAGTCAATTGTTTTTGGCTTAATTGGGGGAATTAGATGCTATTCATTTGGTTTATTTGGTGATTACATTCATTGTACCAGGTTCACTCTCATTCGTGAACAGATCCGTTTTATTCGATTCACACTCATATACTATACAAAGATCCTTTTTGTCCCTTTTTTTAAAACATGGAAAAAGTGAGAATAAATCCTCTCTTGAAATGATTTTTCATAATCTCCTTTTCGATTGAGCATTATTTGAAGGTGTTTTCAATCAAACTCTTTGTAAAACACCGAAAAATTGTAGACGTGTATCCCTAAAGGTCGGGCAGTGATCTATTGTCACGCCACAACATTTTCCAATAAGCCGTTTGATTATTTTAATTGCTATTAGTCATATTTCCTACACTATTCCCAAGCTCAACGAAAATAGAGATTCAAAACCGAACACAAGTAAACTTTGGTATCTCCTATATCGTTCAATTCGAAGGCATGCAAATACTTGTGTTTTCAAGCAACATTTTCTTTCTTCCTTTAATTGCGGGATGTTACTTTCCAACGTATGACAACCGCGCTACATGGGTAAGATTTAAATACAATGGTATTTAGATTTTGCAAAAAGTGTGGTTTTGTCGGACACGGTCGTACTACGTGTAATAAAGACCAAAGCGAGGTGACGTTCCACCTTGAACGTCGCTTTCGTAAGCTACACGAAGGCGGCGCACGTGTTTTATTTGGTCCAACTGATATTCCTCTATACTCTAATGCAATTCGAGGGGTTTTTCCTACTCCGGAAGTTTGGACAACAGAACTTTGGTTTGGTATGCATGATGAAGATGATCCGTCGGAGTTTTCTGGGGATTCGCACCCGTCGGACGGTGATATTTTTGGACCGAATAATTTGGATTCTCCTCAACCTGGTGCGCTGCCAACTCGTTCTCTTCCGGGTCTATTTCCGACTCCTATTCCAGGTGGTTATCACAATGATCAAGATGAAGTTAATCATCTTGCTGAGTACTTTAGTGATAAAGTTGGTGGATCCTCTGTTATTGCTGGCCGTCATAACTTTATAGAATGGAAATTAGGTTCTCAGTTGATGGACATTCCTTTTTATGGGCCTCACTTCACTTGGACTAATGGTCAACTTCAGAATCCCACCTTTGAGAGACTGGATAGGGGTTATGCTACTTCCTCGTGGTTGGACATGTTTCATGAGGCCTCTGTTTACCATCAACCAATTCTTTTTTCGGACCATGCGGCGATTATTCTTCGAGAAGTAGGGTTTTCCAATTTTAGAAAACGCCCTTATAAAATTGAGAATTGGTGTTTGGATTTGAAGGAGATTTTTTCTTTGGTCAGAGATGAATGGAAACATCCTTCTTCAGGTTCCCTTATGTTCTCTATTTCCCGTAAGATGGATGAAGTGAAACGCTGCTTGTTAAACTGGTGTGTTTCTAACAAAAGGAGATGGGGTATTGACTGGCAAGATCTTCAGATTTCTGTTACTTCAGGTTCTTTGAACTTACAGGAGGCTCAAGCACGAAGTAATTTCCTTCTAATTAGAGAAGATGATTTATCTCGTGCTCAGGTAACGTTCTTATTTTGGAAACAAAGGTGTAAAACTAAATGGGATGCTTTGGATGAATCCCATTCTAGTATTCTCTTTCGTTCTGTGCAAGCTCGGCGGCGCAGGAATAAAATTATGAGCTTGAAAGATGGTGATGATAATTGGGTTTCTGATCAACATCAGATTTCTGATCTTTTGCTTAATCATTTTTCTTTGCTCTATAATTGTCAGAATACATCTCCTGCTGTGGTCTCTTGTGATTGGGAGGATTTAGAGTTTCCGACCCTTTCTTTAGGGAACTATCAGTTCCTGATGCAACCTTTTTGTTCCTGATGCAACCTTTTTCAGCCTCAGAAATTAAGGATGCTATGTTTCATATTGGTTCGAATAAGACTCCTGGTCCGGATGGTTTTACTTCAGGGTTCTTTAAGTCGCATTGGCAGACTGTTGGGTCAGAGGTGGTTAAGGCCATTAAGTTTTTCTTTGCGCGTGGCTATTTGCTAAAGGAGTGGAACCGTACTTTCTTGACCCTTCTTCCAAAGGTAGATCATGCTGAGTCTCCTTCTCAGTTTAGACCTATTGGTTTATGCAATGTGCTTTATAAGTGTATTGCAAAATTCTTAACTAACAGACTGCGAAGCGTGTTACCGCCCTTATTTCTGAATCTCAGAATGCCTTTGTTCCTGGGAGGTTAATGAAGGATAATTGTTTATTGGCTCATGAATTGTTAT